GTCGTCCTCGCAACCCATGTAGGGCGGACAGTCCTTGAACAAGGAGGAGTCGCTGACAAGTTTCCTGCTCCCGTCCCACAACGCTGCATCCAGCCCCTACCCTTCAAACTTTGCGAAAATCGCCTCTCGTTTTTTCAGGAAGGGGTACTTAGTGGTCCAGTCACTGTCTGGCCGGTTCTCATGCTTGAACTGGTAGTAGTTCCACAACCGCACCAATATGCGATCGCACTTCAGCAGTTGCACTACCTCTTGCATCCTTAGCTTCCCTTGCTTAGCCAACGCAGAGGACCCTGTCTGCACCCAGACCACCTCGCAGTTGAGAACCTTCTTCAACAACCGACATTTCTCATTGTCGGTAAGGGCCTCCATGCTCTTCCAGCAGTGCGGATCCGGCTCGGTGACCTGGACGAACGAGTCGCCTGGCTCTTTTTCCTTCTTGCCTTTCTTTTGCGGCCCTTCGACGGGGACATTGTAGACGACCACCTTTCGCCCGTCCTTCTCGTTTTGATGTGGCTCACACTTGGCTTGAGGCCCTGCACCTTCTTCTTCTTCGCGATCCACTTCGCTCCTTCCGGTGCCAGCAGTCTGYCTGTTTCCCATCTCTCGWAAAATTCCATCCCGGTTTCCCATGCGCTTTTCCCTGCCATCAAGAGCGGGAAATAGGATCGAAGGGCAGCGTTCTGTTTCTTGATTCCTTGCTCGGTCTTGTCATCGGCGAGAGTCCACAAGTGATTGTACGGCGTCCTGTGGAGTGCCTCCGCACAAAATCTTCGCCAAACCTCCACCTACGCCTGTTTCCCGCTGGGGTTACCCATAACAGCTTTCGGGTAACCCAATTCCTTCCAACACCACCGAATGTCTCCATGGAGAGTTTCAGCTATCTCGAAGGGGCCTTCAGGTCTTTCTTGTTGTCCTYGGCGCTGACCAGAAAGTACCCCTCAAAGTCCTCGTCCGAGAAGTACACCATTCGTGCAGGCCAGCGCTCGAAGTTGTACCTCACCACCACATCGGTGCCAAGCAGCGCCCTGGCCGCAGCCGCGTTATGCTGGCCCGCCATAGTGTAGTAGTAGTATTGCCCTGCCAGCTCGTCCTTCCAGTCCTCCGGCTTAAAACGATCCGCCTGCACCCCGGGCGTCGGTTTAACCAGCCCAAGGGTCGCGAGCTTTAGTGTCGGCAGCTCGTAAGTCTTCTCGGCCTGAGAGTAGGCCGTCGTCATTGCGTCAATAATGTCCCGTACTTGCAGGGGATCCAAGGAACGCTGGTTGTATGTCGCCTCCCACTCGCCGATGTCGACGACTTGCGACGGGTTAMTGGCGAACTCCCGCTTTGTTCGCACGCCGTTTTCCCATTCTAGGAAGTATGCCGCGTCGATGTCGATGACACCTCTGGCCTGGACAGGGGCCGACTCGGGTGGCTTTTGAGCTGAGGTCGGGCGCTTTTGACTCGACGCGCCGGCATGCCCCTCAGCTGCCTTCCTTTTCCCCCCTGACTGCTGTGGGATCTTTGTCTTCTGCTTCTTTTTAGCTCCCGACGCCTCCCCCTCAGAACCTCCCCTTCTCTTTTGTGTAGACTGCTGTTTCCCTCCCTCCCCGCCGGAAACGACGCCAACTGTCCTTTCCTCCGACCCCAAGCCGCGACGGCCACCSGACGTCGACGGCTGCTCGACGACCGTTGCCCCTCTCTCAGCCCCCGGAATTCTCAGCGTCCCGCGATCTCTGAGTCTTTGCGGCGAAACTCGCGTGTCCTCCTCTTCTTCCTCCTCGCTGTCATCGAAGCGACCTCGTTACTCGCCCTGTCGGGGCTGTACTGAACCACCGGAACCCATTTCCTCACCATGTCGGGGCTGTACTGAGCCACTGGAAACGAACCCGGAGCACATTTGCACAGGAAGCGACAGTTCCAAGTCGCTCGAAATTTGGCAGGGATCGTCGAGGTCGAAGTCGCTCCTCTCGACTAGGTCAAAAAACTCCCTGGCCGAAACAAGACCTCCCTCCGCGACTTCAGTGTAGAAAGGGGTCCTCAAAGCCCCCCCACCAAACCCCTGGAACAGATCCCACAAGAGAATCGCCCCTTTCGCACCTGCTAGAACGTCGCCCTTCGAATTGTAAACGACATGCATCAGGTAGCACTGCTTGTCGAGGTTTTTCGATGGCTGCCATCCCTTGACCAAGCCGAGCACTCTTCGTCCTTTTCTATCTTCCACGAAGATGACAGGACCGCAAGGCGGTTTCRTGGGCTTGTCATCTTCGGCGAAGCACCAATCGACGAACCACTTCGTGTGCGCATGATTCGACCACGATTTTGCGTTCGTCGACTCCCTCCCCGAGGTCCCCGTAGGCTGCTCCTCGCCTCTTGACGTAGACATTGTGTCTGCACCAGACGTAGCGGAGGATGCATTYGAAAACAAACAACACCGCCAACAATCAGCAAATGGGGAACTTCGGATACCGGCGGACTACAAGCTAGGCAAATAGAAAAGCAGAACACCGCAAAGGGAAAAGCAGGTGCGCTGGCGGCGAGCGAGCAGCGTACAGGGGAATGGTGGTTGTCGACAGTTAGCGCGCAAACGGGCAGCTTTAKAACTCTTTATAGCATATGTTAGAAGTTCAGATTCCAGCGAACTTCGTCCATCGGAGGTCAAGATTGCGCACGTTTCTCATGAACGGACATGTGGTCACTATAGAAGATCGCTCTACCATCGAAGAATATGTATCATGAGCGATGTCCGGATTCCGGCGGACTTCATCAAATGTTGATGGGCCATTGTGACAGGGTCCGACCTTGTTCAACCAGAATCCGAGGTAGACGGTGCATGAAGTTCCGACAGAGAAAGATGTGTTCACGTAGTTCGGATGTCGGCGAACTTCCTATCTTGCAAGCATCATAATGGTCGACAATTGTGCACGGTGATTGTGCACCATTGGGAATCAACTGGCTGGCAGACAGTGTGCAAATGCCAGTACGCGAGAAACCGTGCCGGAGGGCAGTTCCGTTCGCGAGGTGCGAAACTCCGCTCGAAACAGATCCACATCAAACAAGAAGGTCCACCGAACTGACCACAGTTGCGAATGAGCATCCCGAAAGACTGCCCGAACAACAGATAACCTGCGGGATCCGTGGGGGGTGTTCTGTTTGTGGAGTGCGAAACTTTGCTCGATACAGACCCACATCCGACAAGAAGGTCCCAAAACCTGACCCCAGTTGCGATTGAGCATCCCGGAAGACTGCCCCAAGAACTGATAATATGCGGGATGCATATGCTGGTCCGTGAATTACCTGGACTGCAGTCGCTTCCTCACGCAACTCGACAAACCGCAGAGCGGCCTTTGACACACCCACGCATCACCTGAAATGCGAAGTTCGCCGGGATCCGAACTTCTGGAGGGGGCGACCGGAAGAGACAGGGCGCACTTAGTTGACAGGCTGGTTGAGAAGGCGAAGTCCGCCCACATCCGAGCGCGTACGAAACGAGTCGTCTRGGCAAGGGCGGACACGGGCCGTTGTCGCATGAGGCCACGAGAAAAACGACARAGCAATATGAATCCGCACTTGTGCGGTTATCGGAACCCGAGATGCAACGGAGGTCCACACGCACGTACGAGGTCTGGTGAAGGTGGGGGTCCGACGAAGGGGCGTAAGGAAACACACAGTCGGTTCGAAGGCATTGTGGAAAAGCGAAGTTCGTCGGGATCCGAACATAGGGCCGGTGCTGGAGAGAGACGCGATGTGCGTGACGAGGGCTCTGCGCTTTCGTGTTCAGTGCAATCAGCTGCGCGTCAGGAAAGCCACGGCGTCGGAGGACAGACAGAAGCGTGTTGAGATGGATAGCTCGGGCTTCGCACCACACGTGCACCATATAGTTTCTACTATCAACTACTGCCTGTCACACCTCTCGCTCCTTTTCCCTCAAGCACGAGGTCTGACAACCCGTCCAGATCTGGTTACATTCGGGGTCCCTCGGGGACGAGGTCGTGACCCAAAGCCATACATAGCATTCATTGGAGATCCGTAAACGTGGATCTGCGGTTCTTTGACTGACACATTCTCCGAAAAGACGGACATGTATTTCATCCGAACGAAAACTCCCGGTCGGGCTAAGGAATTCCCAATACAGTCCCGTATCTCAGACACTTTCTCTTCCACTTCATGCCACAACGAAAAGTTTTGGACCTGCCCTGCTATCARGAGGTCCACCCATCTACACGTTCTGGCCCGCGCGCTTCGACGAATTTGGACCCCTCAATTACCACCTCGTTTTGTGACACAAGCATAACTGCATCGACGAGTTTCCTACTTTTGTTACAAGTGGCGACACACAGCACTCTGGCGAAATCAGTTCGTGATACAGTCAACCTCACACAACAGTAAGACACAACTTGTGGAGAAAGACTAGGGCAACGGAGCGGGTAGTGCTCCAGGAACGAGCAGTGACGAGCGCAGTCCAGCAACTCTTGTTTTAACGATCCTGTCCACGCGCGTGGCGACGACGTGACGTAGTGRCACTCTAGGYGACTGAAATGGCGGCTAATGCARCTCAGTGTTCTGCGCATAYGRCTMAGGAACTTGTGTCCGAGGACAGCGTCAGGCAGCGTGATGAGGTCTCCAAACTCCAACATGTTGGCGAACTTGTACTGGCTTGCCCAAGGGCATCGACTCTCCATCGCGGCCCAATTGACATCGTGCCAACCATCAAGATGCCTGTTMWTGCACGGGACGACGGTCATCCAYGGGTCCTCGTCGAAGTACTTTCTGGTGGCTCCGTGGATCRAAGTCACGCCAGAGGAAACGGCTYTGCCAAGCGCATGTGCGTCTCGGGACTCATGGTCTCCGGTGTCGAGAATATCGAATGCATGATCCGTGGTGTCGAKAAGTCCCCTTCCATTACGCACCCTACACACCACGGACACATATCAAACGAAACACACGGCCACGCACACAGTCGTAAACGGAGTCGGCAAATGGCCACTCCCTTTTGCCACGCTTACAMGCAGTCGGCAAGTCACGAACTGTATATTCACGAGGTTCCACACGCTTTCAAGTACTTCACATGCACAGGGAATGCGGCCCAAAGACAGGGGACCCAATGACAGGGCGGATGACTGGCGGAAACGAGATGTTGGCGACACCTATCTACGACACCTGTCTACAACACGTTTAATGCACGGAAACACCCCACAGATGAAGCTACGGAAAGTTGAAGTCTGTGCATTGAAATTATTCGGAGTCAATTCAAAAAAACCTCGACAGATGCGGGTCGTAAATGCAYAGTCGCAATGCGAAGAACGGTCAAACCGAAGTGTTTGTAGGAAAGCGAAGTTCGGCGGGATCCGAACTTTGAGAAGGTGCGAGAGACTGGGAGATAGAGAGCTCACCGCCACAACACGTTCATAGCAACGCGAAGCGATTGCTTAATTCCACTGCCCAGGAGAGAAACCRAAGTGTCGTTGGGAAAAGGTCGATAATTGGTAGTCCGCCGGCATTCGAACTTGTGTCCTTCATGCAATTAACGGGCCGCCGGAAACACCAAAGTAAGAACATGCATCATACGGAAATGCGAAGTTCGCCTGGATCCGCACCTGAYGTTTGCGCCAATATCCGTCCCTGCGTGGTTTCTGGAATCATGGCGCACAAGGACGACCASWGTCWCAAAGGTGGCCCGRCGAGAAGGCGGTTTCACGGTATTCTACGCGGCCGGCGTCCGAAGCTCYGATCCGGGCAAGCGTGGTCGATGACTGAATTTCGGAGCCCCTCGAAGTTCGGATACGGGCGGACTTGGTTATTGTTCAAATCCAAGGGCAACCAGGCGAGCCACAGACAGGGCTCGTCCATAACTTCGTGAGAGCGCGTGAGAGAGCCAGACAAGGTCTGTCGAGCTCTCGGTCCCGCAGTGTCTTGAAGTSCAGATYCCGGCGGACTTCGCATGCCAGCACATTAAGACAGCAGCAGAAGTTCGCCCGCACCTGAACTTGATGTGTTTCCAAATGGTCGTCGGCCTTTTCACGCTCCGGAAGTCTCATGTCTAGCTATAGATCATCAGAAGAAGTTCGGATACCGGCGAACTTCGAGTATTTTCCATACCGTCTTCGGTCCTTTCATGCGCATGCGGTACCGGACAGGCTTGCGTTGCTGTGCGAATCGAGTGGCTCGTGAGAAGGCGAATGGGAATGGGAAGTTCGTCGGGATCCGGACATCATTGGGTGGTGGGTTCTTTTATCAAATCCGTGTCAGAGTTCGATGGCCGACGAGGTTCGATGGCCGACGAGGTTCGATGGCCGACAAAGGTTCGATGGCGGACGAGGATCAATCAACCGCTGCAAGATCTTCGTTCAACCAGCGATCAGATCGAACCCTCGTCGGCCATCAAACAGTCGTACCGATTGTACGCCATTCAGTTTCCAATTATTGATCGGCTGCAGGACGGATGTGTAGCGGGAGTGGGGGGCGGATTGGACATCCGTTGATGGAACTATGAGAAAAGAAAAGAAGAAGACAGTGTCGCTCCATTCATCATTGTTGGTTTCGTCTTCCAGTCAATCAAATCGTATCGATGGAAATCATTCACTCAATCAAATCAACCATGTACCAGCAGTCCATTCTTCCGATTTTGCTCATCGTGTCGATGGACGTGTCGTCTTCCCAATATATTGTCATGTGCTGGCCGAGAACTCGTTCCGATTTTGCTCAACCTGCACACAAACACAGACTGACATTGCCAAGTTTCAAGAGATTGGAATGACTTGCCTGCGCTGCAATCACCAGCAATCGGTCGACTGTTGTTCATTTCATCGCAGGCAAGTCCTTCTCTTCTCTTGGAGCGTCGAAATGGCTGGATAAGCAAAACCGAGGCCAACCGATTGATTGATTGAACGATCCAGCAATCAGATCGGACATTCATTGATTGGATGAACATCTCTGATTGGAGTGGAAAAAGAAAAAATGAGTTACAGTTCCATTTTCGTTTTCGTTATCCATTTAATCAATGGAAATCTCTCAATCACGCTCCACGCGTGGATTCAACGATCCAGGCGTAGGTTCATTCGATTTCGCTCATCGTGTCGATGGGAATCTCTCAATAATTCAAAGCAATCATGTTCCACGCGTGGATTCATTAGATTTTGATCATAGTGTCGATCGGATTCGTTCCGATTTCGCTCATCCTGCATTGTCGCGCTTGGGGATATGGGAATGTGTCGCCTGAGACTTTCATTGACTGAACGTTCGAGTGCGAAAAAACAAATACATTAGCGCTCCATTCTCCTTACTCGTTTTCGTCTTCCCTTCATTCAACCTAAACCATTTAGCCCAGCATCCATCCGATCTCGTTCGAACCACCATATTTCCAAGTGCGCGAGTGTGTCGTCCATGGATTTCTGTCAACTTGAGCAAGCGATCAACCGCGCAGGCAATCGATCAGCGAAATGAATCATCAGCCAGATCGAAATGA